CCCCCGGGGCTTGTGGCCGGGCCTACCGGCAGACCAGCCACAGCTGCCCTTTTGCAGGGAATTTGCAGGCACTTGAAAATGCAGATCAGCCACAGCCTGGGCGTTGACCTCAGCCTTCAGGTCCCGCAGAGCTGGGCAAAGATCTGGGTGGCCCCCAGCACCTCTCCTCGGGCACAACCGCTCTCCTCTTCCCACAGATCTTCCACCGCGGTGCCGTGGTCACAGACGCTGCCCGTTGCACGGCGCTGGGCATAGAGGTGCTCAACAAGCAGGGCTCCTCGGTAGATGCGGCCATCGCCTCGGCCCTCTGCGCGGGGATCGTCAACCCCCACACGTCGGGGCTCGGCGGGTAAGTGTCAGCTGCTCACCCCTGTGCTGTCGTCTGCGATTGTCCTCGAGCAAGTGATTTTGCCACCAGCTGAGATGTGCCTTCATGGTAGCGTGAGTGCCAGGGTGTGGTACCAGGTTTCTGACATCAGGCAGTGGATGTGTGGACGTCTGCACAGGGACGGGGACCCTTCCTGTGCACTGAGAGACCCCCAGGGAGGGAAAAGCTGCGTCTATCATAGTAGCTGCCAGGAAAGCCCAAGCCTCAGACTTGAGAGATTTGAAAAAGTGACCAGGCTGCCCTCTGCGAATGTGCCAGGAGCTTGTAGTAACCTGGGTTCAGTCCCAAAGCTTTCAGAGATTGAGTGCGTCCCTCTCTACGCTCTGCTCCTGCTGCAACAGGAGCCTGAGGCCCGAGCCTGGTGCTGGGTGGCAGCCAGGGGAGACGTAGATGTGAAGGGGGGTCTCCTCCCAGCCCTCATCCGCGTGGCAGCATCCACAAGAGCCTGGTCCTCTGGGCTCTGCAGGAGGTCTTGGGAGCGTTGCACAAAGCCCTGCCACCTGATAGCTTCTCCAGGCTGTGCCACAGATTGCTGTTGTAAACAAAAACCGTGTTTTTTTGCAAACCGGCTCGGATTAGAAAGAAAATCCTGGGTAGTCCCAGCCTGGCAGTGGAACAGAGCCAGTGGCCCTGTGGGCAGGCTGGCAGATACTGATGAGGTTCAGTTACGGGGGCCACCTGCGTTCCGCACCGGCCCTGCCTCCCTCTGCTGGGAAGGGCAGCAGAGTTCCCGGCACCGCTGGCCAGCCCTGGGTCACTGCTGGGGCTGGTGACCTGCTGCTGTGGCCCTGCTGTGCCTGGGACTGGCCCCATCCCCGGTGGTGCCTGTGCTTTTCGGTTTGGCTTTACGGCAGCGGCTGTTGCAGGGACAGCCCGTGCCATGAGCCCTGTCTCGCTGCAGGGGTGGGGTGATGCTGGTCCATGACATCCGGAAGAACAGGAGCTGGGTGATCGACTTCCGTGAGGTGGCTCCCCTGGGCATCCCGCTGGAGGGGGACCTGCAGAAGGACACCAAGGTGAGGACCAGCGTCCCACAGCTGACCCCTCTGGGGCTGCAGCTGGCTGATGTTTCCAGATCCCCCCTCCCTGCAAGTCTTGGGCTGAGGAGGAGATGGCCAGGGAAGCAGCAGGAGGTCTCTCCCACATGGGAGATCCCAGGCCCTACAGACCTGAGGAGTTCAGGGAAAATACTTCTTTGGCAGCCTCAAAACGCCTGAAGCCTTCAGGGCTTGGAAGTAAAGAGGCATGTCCCTCGGGCAGCGGGGAGAACAAGAGTCCCAGGAAGGAGCACAGTCCTGTCATTCTGCTGAGTTATTTCTCCTGACCAACCTGGGTTGAGACCAGGATTGAATTTGGCTCTTTCCTTCCAAAAGCTGTTGTTCCCCACTTTAGTGTGTTGCTACAGGCCTCTTCCCCTCTCCCAAAGACCATACAGATATTTCCCTTGTGAATATGCTTTGCATCTCCTTGACTTGCAGTGCTAGTGTCCTCATGGGAAGGACACTACTTTTCCGCTTTGTCCTTCTTATTTTACAGCCAGGTCTGCTCGTGGGGGTGCCAGGCATGGTACAAGGAATGCAGCAGGCGCACCAGTTACACGGGAGGTAAGACTGGTGCAGGGCTGACCTCCTGCCTGTGCTCTGGGGTCCCCATGGTGGGGGCTGGGAGCACACGAGCCCTCGCCATCAGACCACCTTCTCAGCCACCAGTCAAAACCATTAGCTAAGGGGCATCTGGAGGCTTATGTTGAAAAATATATTCATTTTTGGGTACTTCATTTAACAAAAGAAAGAATTCAACTTGGTCAGGTTTTCTGCAAGGTGAAATTTTGGCAAATAAGACAGACAAGAAATATCTCAGAAGCAGGTGCAGAACATTTTCATCATGTCTGTGCATTTTCATTCTCTCTTTAGCTGGACCCTAAGAAGTGTGGCAGACATTGATGCCATTTTGGGACAGAGAAGGAGGGAGCTGAATGACTGGCTCAGGGCCAGAGCCTGGCTTAAGATTTTGCTCTAAAGATGTCCCTTCCCATGTCCTTGTGCTGCCACTCCTCTCTGACACACATCATGGAGCACTG